CAATAGAACATTTGGCAAAAAACATCTTAAACAGTAAAGATTCAGTTCAAACAACACTTTAAAACTTTTACTATTGACTGCTAAGGCTGTACACATATGAAAATGCACAAAAGGAGCACACATGTTAGACTTACAAGGAAAAGAAAATCTACTCAAAACGGCCCATTTGTAATTCTTTTTCTCTTGCCAGACTACAACAAAAATGGTTTGGAATATTGCACCCAAACCTTTTGTAGAATACTGAATAAGATACTGCGAAGTTCATAGGGGTATTGAAATGTGGATTTGATTCTTCTATATTTTACATAAGCTATAAAACATCATAATTCTAGTGTAAACTATGTTATCATTACCCCTTGAAGTTAGCTTTCTTATAAACATCTGGTGTTCCTTTCAAAAGCTTAAGTACAGGGTGAAACAGGAATTACCAGCCAGTAATAGATGAACATTAGATGACTGTAACATGTAGATGCTCAATTCTTTGTACACTATATGATCAGTGTCTTTATGGAGCCAACTCCTATATAATGTATGAAGTGAAGGAGTAAAAAATAAATTAATACACACAATATTAAATTTTATTACACACATTTGTAGAATAATTACTTTAAAAGACATGTTTATTTAAAGCAATGTTTCAGACCTATATGTTTTATTTGAAAAAGCTGCTTTTCTACTGGTAAAATTTTACACATGCTTAGTAGGTGTTGTGTCTTAGTCTAGGCATATATTTGCCCATTGCTATGTACTATGTATAGAGAATTTAGTTACACAGAAACTATAAATGCTTACTGTCTTCTCAAACAAATATCCATGACAATCTCCAGTTTCAGCTTAACATTTTTACATCTCGAACTAATGCGATCAAATAGTCAATAGCTACAGTAATTCATCATAAACCATATCAGCTAGCTACTGGCTATGTTTATTATCATTACAATGTATAAAGTTAGCTACCATATCAAGTAATCCTTTGCCCATAGTTGAGCATAAAAAAGCCAGCTAGCAAGATAAGTAAAAACCTGCAAACAGGGATCATAAAAAAAAAGTAAGAAAAACAAGACTGGAGATACTGTAGACATTATTTACTCAAATAACAAATAGGGATTTGTAGTTTCAGTATATAATGTCTACAGTATCTCCAGCCTTGTTTCCTTACTTTTTTAAGATCCCTATTTTTTATTTATCTTGTTATAGTAAGATTTTTTAAGAAATTGTTTACAGTTTTTTCCCTCACAAACATTATGTAATGAAAAAATATACATTATATTTCCTTCTTAAAAGACAGGTATAATATATATGTCATAAAACCACTACATCACATTATACTTTAACAAATACATAATTTTATATTTTTATCAACTTTCATGGCAAAGAATTGAGAATATATGTTCATTATGAAGAACAAAATAAGATTCAAATTATTTTGTTACTTTCTTATTCTGGATTATGTTTTTTATTTCTTTCCACTAATATTAACTTCCAATCAAATCAAGCTCCCTATTTAGATAAAAATTAACCAGGTAATGAGTGTAGCTAATTGAATATACTTTTCTTATGTTCTTACTTATAAAGATTGCAATGCATTGTATCATCAGTTGGGTGCCCTTGTTGTTAATAATAGTTTCAGACATAAATTCATGGAAAGAGTAAGGACAAAGTATCTCATCATGAAGTCCAAAATATAGTTCAAAATATTTTCTGTTATTTTCTTGGATGTTTTAAAAATTACCTATTTAAAGTTTTATGATGTGCAGAGTAACAACATACAGAACTGAGTTTCAATGTGACAATTGTTGCAATTAATTTTTGCACTGTAACATATACATTTTTTTGCTTTAATGAATAGCTTTTCAAATCTATGTTTTTTATGTAATAAATCATTCAATACCAGAATTCACCAGATTGGGTAAAACTATGGTGCCTAAATTACTGCTTCACCAGTTCAGTGTCTTGCACTATTGCAATAAAACAACATTTCAGATATACTTATGGTTTCAACAGATCCAACTGAATGGACAAGATTTGGTATTAAACAATAGGTCTCCTATATAGTGACTAGAGGCAGATAAAACAAGTCTAGAAACCTATTTTCACACACACTTTCTTCAAATATATATAAACATAGACTAACTAAAAGGAATGTGTGAAAAAATACCTATAGTTAACTGTGGTTTTAGCGGCATTTGTTAGGCTTGTAAATCCACATTGCTTTACTAGCTTAGGCAATTTACCATTTCATGTTTTTTTAAATTCCAAGTACAAAAGCATCAAATTAAGAATTTTTTGGTGCATAAAAGTTCATAATTTCGTGATTCAGCAGGTTATCTCCGATTTAATGAATTGTTACGTATCTAAACATGTAAAAAAGTATTTAATTCTAAGTTTGTTTATTATCATTAAATTCAATGTGATAAATACATATTTTAAATTTTAAAATTAGATGAACAGTTCTCTTGGGCAACTGAAAATAAATCCTATACCAAGATGTTTAATTCAAGTGAAACTTGACACATTTTCATGCTTGTATGATGTCTTCATTTAGATGGTTCTTTAACACTATCTCTACAGGTCATCCTATGGTTACAGGTCAAAGGCCATGTCATCATATTTCAAAAGCATCAAATTAAGAATTTTTTGGTGCATAAAAGTTCATAATTTCGTGATTCAGCAGGTTATCTCCGATTTAATGAATTGTTACGTATCTAACCATGTAAAAAAGTATTTAATTCTAAGTTTGTTTATTATCATTAAATTCAATGTGATAAATACATATTTTAAATTTTAAAATTAGATGAACAGTTCTCTTGGGCAACTGAAAATAAATCCTATACCAAGATGTTTAATTCAAGTGAAACTTGACACATTTTCATGCTTGTATGATGTCTTCATTTAGATGGTTCTTTAACTTTACAGGTCCTATGGTTACAGGTCAAAGGCCATGTCATCATATTTGTACACTCACATTCAAAATTTTATTGAACTACTATTTTATGAATGTATCTTAATAAGTTTGGTATCAAACTGTAGATTATAATTCAAAATTTTAGTACTATATATTAGCTAATTTCTTAATTTAAATGTAAATATAAAAAAATCCTAACTAAATATTGATTTTTGTGTGTCACGTGGGTATGTTGGATGCAGTATTGGTTCAAATTAGATGTTTGTGATGTCCAAATACAAAGTCTATAGTTTCTTACGAATTAGGAATTCAAATTACTAATATTGACAAGCTAGAATGTAAAATAAGAACCTGCTATCTTTTCTATTTGCTGAGATATCGCTACATTTACTGAATCAAACATAGTGGCCCCACCCACCTCTGTCCATTTTTGGATACTCACGGATACTTTCGTGATTACAGGCTGAGTGGGATCCACTCAGCCCGTAATGGTAGGGTTAAGGAAATCTGTGGCTCTCATAGTAACACTATATTTCATTTCTATCCTCAAACATTTTGGTGATGATATTGGTGAAAAGAAAAAACAAAATAATTAAAATAACAAAAAAATGTGCCTCTTTCAGTACAAGGTGTAGTGATGATTATTATTATATTTACTGATCAAACAGTTTTGTTCTGAAACACTTACCTGAAGTAATACATACAAAATATCCCAGTAAAATTATAAAATGAAAAACAATCTCACCTAAACAGCCGAATCCTCAGTGTTGCTATTCCTGCAAGTTCTCCCAGAATTTCCCCCACTGTAGCATCTGACATTTCAGTAATTTGTTCAAAAGCTAATGGTTTCCAGTTTCTTAACTGTATAGCTCCTACAGTTATAACAGATAGTAATATAAAACATTTAACAGTCATTGCAATACAAAAATATACATATGATTTGGATAAATACTTATGCATATACTACTAAAAAACAAATAAAAAATACATAATAGTTGTTAACAATTAACAGAATATTCAAATACAGCTATTTGTTCTTTCTGTAAGAACTTTCAATTTCATTTTATAACACTTTAAAGCAATTATATGCATGTCAATATGATGATTTAATAATACAATTTCTGTAAGAGTTAGAAAATGTTTCATGTGACTTATTAAGCAATATCTGTGCTGAGAATGATTTCTTTTACAGACTTATTTCAGATATCAGAATGTTCTTCTAAATATTTGTATATATTTATAGCCTATCCAAATTAATTTATAATGAATAATGGTGATCCTATTTCAGTGACAAACTAAAAGACTTCAATAATGATCAGACAGAATTTACAGTTACTTATGATAATTGTCCAAGCCTAAATGTGTATGGTATTTTCAAGTACATTGATTTCCAACAGGTAAGAACAGTATCTCCTCTCTAACTAATGTTAAATGAAAAGAAACATCCAGTATCCAGTGAAAGTTATTTATTTCCTCAAAGTTTTGCCTAACAGTTCTATCAAGAGGTAGATACCCTACGGAACACAAGCCTAGTTTTAGCAGAATAAACAGCTGATATAATTCAAAATAGTGACAATGTGTTGTTACGTATCATCTGACAGGTGATCACATTATCAAAAATAAAAAGGTAACAATAAGAAATATATGAAAATAATATAAACATAGTAAAGAATATATTCATTTAACAACAAAACCAAAAAGTCATGTGAACATTCAAATCTAATGAACATGTAAAGGTAAACAGTAAATGTATTTCCAATCATACACACACCTTTTATAAAAAAATAAAGTAGGAGGTATTACAACATCCGTAAACACGTACATAAGTTCACTATTTAAATGGGCAACTTTCTATCCTTGTTGACTGAAGACTTGTCATAGCTGATAAGAAGAGTCTCTTTGTATTTTCTGTCCAGGACACTGGCATTTTCCTTCTATTTTTGATTATAAGTGGGTGACTGGATTTAGGCAAACCATGCTCATTAATAAAATATGTAGCAACTGGAGGTCTTTCAGCCTCCTATATCTTTATAACATAGAAATGTTCCATGGAATGCTCTCTGATAAGTCTCTTAGTTTCACCAGTATATTTTTTCATTACAAATGTGACGTGCAATTCAATTTTTTTTTTTACACTGATCATGGGATTTAAATGTCAAACACACTAAATGCAACTTAAACAAAAATTAAGGTTTTCTTGTTATCTTGTATGACTATAGACAAATCAGTTTCCCTTACAACATTCTTAATAATATTATTAATTGAAAAATAATAAGGTAGTTGAAATGCAAAATTTTTTCTTGAGTCCTGTTCTTGTTGCTTTGTTTGTCATGAATGGTGAAAATTTTGTTAACCAATCTTCAGGATAAACATTCAATATCAAAATCTCTTAGAGATCTAACCTTCCAATTAATATATCACTGAGATTTGTACAAATATGTGAAATTCTCATTAATTGGCTAAATGTCATATCCTTCTTCATGTCACATAGGTGATAAGACAGGTAATGTAGTGAATTTCTTGAGATATATTTTATATACATTACTAACAACCTGTAATCAATCAAGTACAACCATAGAAGCATCTAGAAATTGAAAGCCATAACTAGATAGAGTAAAAGTAAAATTTATAATATCCTGAACCTAATTTAGGAAATGATAAAAAGTTAATTAACCCTTTCTATACGGGTTACAGGTAAAAGGCCATGTCATCTCGTTTGTTGACTCGCATTCAAAATTTTATTGAACTACTATTTCATGAATTTATGTCTATAAGTTTGGTATCAAAATTTTAGAACTATACATTACTCAATTTGTTAATTTAAAAGTAAATATTAAATAACATAGATATACATCGATTTTTGTGTGTCATGGAAAATGTTGAATGCAGCACTGGTTTAAATTAGATGTTTGTGAAGTCAAAATACTAAGTCTATAGTTTCATACGAATCAGTAACTTAAATTACATATATTAACAAGCTAGAATATAAAATAGGAAGGTCTTATCTTTTCTATTTGCTAAGATATTGCTCATGTAATAAATCAAACACAGTAGCACCCCACCCATTTTTGGAAACTCTTCCTTATATACACTTATTTCTATATATGACATGAATGACCAATCGGAAGCTTAGAATTTCCCGTTATTGGCTTTTTCAGCCATCTTAATGGACTTGGTGCCATTTTTCTTTTGAACCAATATTTCAACGAGGTAGGTTGTGTCTTTAGTCTGCTCAAAATTTCATATTTTTTAGACTAAAATACATCTTAGTTACTAAGCTTAATAAATTATAATAGAATTCTATGGTTTTAATATAGTATTTTATGATTTTTTTTCAGTTATTCAATGTACATATAAAACCTAAAAAAATATTTTGTTTCATAGCCTCCATGTGCAATTTTTTTAAAGGCTTAGTAACCTACATCAAGCAGCAATCAAGTACAAAGGTTGTAACTAGAAGATATAATGCTTCTTTATTTACTGTTCTATGTTTTAAGAAAAATAAGTTTAAGAACTTATTTCAAGATAGCAATAATCTATATACATATATAATGTATAATAATTGAAATGTGAATGCATTTTACAAAACTACTAAAACACAGCCAAGTCAAGTTACTTTGTTCAGAACAAAGGTCAGTTTTATGTTTGATAAGGTAACACGAGTGCATGTCAACCTCGTCATTGTAACTTCTGTATTGTTAGCTAGCCACGGCTGAAAGGTCAGTATAATAAAAATAATAAATATATATAAATGTATAATGTTATTTGATTTAAGCTATTTAGTCTAAACATTTATAAATTATAACACGAAAACGTGTTCATTCTAGAATGAAAGAGGCATAATTTATATTTATTTCCTAATTTTTTATTGTGGTTACAAGATCAGTCAAATCTACTGAACCCATACAGAGATTCATTACTGAAAATATCAGATAAAATAGTTTTTTTTCTTAAGAAATGTTTGATAATTATCAGGACATTATAAAGATTTTGCATGTAAAATTTCAAAATTTTCTGATGTATAAAAGTATTTTTAATCTTAAAATGAAAATGACTTTGCATGTTAGATAGGCAACATGTGAAAAAAAAAAGGCATGATAAAAACATTACTTTATAAACCTTAAAACTTGATAAAAAATTTGATATTTTGCGTATGAAAATATTGTAATATTTACTGATAATCTGACAAATGTCATTAACATTTGCTTACTAACTTACAAGTTATAGCATGAAAACTATAACAAACACAAAATGGTTATGAGGTCGGTCCCAGGGACTGAGCCTATGCTGAAAGAGTTAAAGGTAAAAAAAAAGCTTTTAAAAGTATAGTCTATAAGTTTACTTGTAACATATTATTACTAAGCTTTAGCACAGTAAGATATTTTTATTTGGGGAAGAAAAGCTGATATTCCTGAAGCAAAATTATGTAAAGATGTTAAAAACCTTTTTTTTTGAAATTTTGGTACTTTGTTTTTAAATGAATTCTTTATGTACTTTAATTGTAAGTTACTAATTTCACTTATTTTTCAGTATGAGTTGATATACTTTAAAGACATCTGGCTTTCTCAGAAAGAACAGTATAGGTGGTGAGTGGCTATTTACATCTTTACTAATATTTTCAAGGTAGATGCACAACTCTTAATAATGGAAATTATTGTAGTAGTCAAATAATTTGGCTTTGACAAATTAGTAAGTAATTGCACACTTAAAATCCTATACACGCTTTCAACTTTAATTTTAAATCAAATATTATTTGAATAGTACCTTTACAGAAAATAAATATTCCAATGTGATAAATAACCAATTTTATTGTCCAAAAGGAAGGCCCGTTTTGGTGTCTGTGTAATTGTGTGTTTTTGTTTTAGTTTCACAAAGTGTTTAACCAATCATGTAGGAAAAAGGACTTGCTTTATAAACATGAATGTTTTAACAAAATATCATAGTTCAGGGTGCTATCTCAATAATGAATATATCAAGTTGAAACTGAAGATCTTTAAAGAACTTTGAAAGATCTAACAAGTAAAAATTACTTCTTCATTGTTTCAACAGTACATTTGAAAAATGTTTGATCTAAAATCTTTACTTTTGGATCTCCAAAAAAAAAATATATATGTATATATTATGTAGATAGCTCAAATATTCTATTACAGGGCCAGTGTTTGGTCAAATTGCCCCGTTTGTCAAATATAATAGCCACTGCTATGTTCATTAGGAAATGTTTACTCATTGGCTTGATTGTTAACCCTTAGTATCCCTCAGTAGTTGACTTGACAGACTCGGCACAAATATCCATTGTGTATAACAAATAACTTTTAATCCTTAACTATTATGGTGATTGTTTTTGTGTGTGTGTGGGTGGGGTGGGGGGGGGGTCACACAAATCTCCAAAGTATTTGTTTTATAAAATATATTTTGCTTACAAAAAAGAAATTATGGTATTAAAATGCTTCCACTAATGTATGAGAATATAAAAAAGTTCAGTGTTATTACAAGTACAAAAATTAGTTATTAACAAAACTAAATCAGTTATGGTTGTATAAAACCCAATTCTCATAGTTAAGGTGTAATATATATATATATATATATGTTTCTATTTAAGAATTTACAAATTACAATACTTATTAAAATTATTAAATTTTTCCAAGAACAAATTGGTACATAGCACTATAAGGAAGGGGAGCAGTTTTTAAGTTATATAAACATTATGCATTTTCAAGACATAGGTAAGCATTAGCAAAACACAAACAAATGTTCAGGAGAAAATAAAAGATTATAAAAGGGTAAATTTGAAATGTAACAGCTGTAAATGTTCAGGAAAAAATAAAAGATTATTAGGAGGTACATTTAAAATGTAACAGCTGTAAAGAACCTTCTTATATTGCATAGGTACCAAGTAGACTACCAAGTTGGAGTTCTTATTTCAAGATCGACTGTAAATATTATACAATTTCGAAAGTTATGGGTTCTGCCAATTCTTCAGGTTAGTGCTCATTTTAATGTTTTATTTAAGACTACATGCTAATTTTAATTATTATAGCTAAGTGAACACTAGACTGTGGTTGAGAACCCCAGAAATCAAAAGTTATTTATTTCGTTTTGGGTGTTTCTGTTGTTCATCAGCAAGAGCAGAGAACTTCTGTAACTGCAGATTGCTTACTTCAGGTGTTAATATATCTAGTGCACTGACCAAAGTGAGTAGCTCCAGCACCTGAGAAATGTAACTTATTCCTTGTATGTATATATTTGTGGTGCACAAACCAAATTGGGTGAATCCAGCACCTGAGAAATGTAACTTATTCCTTGTATGTATATATTTGTGGTGCACAAACCAAATTGGGTGAATCCAGCACCTGAGAAATGTAACTTATTCCTTGTATGTATATATTTGTGGTGCACAAACCAAAGTGGGTGAATCCAGCTCCTGAGGAATGTAACTTATTCCTTGTATGTATATATTTGTAGTGCACAAACCAAAGTGAGTAGCTCCAGCTCCTGAGGAATGTAACTTATTCCTTGTATGTATATATTTGCGGTGCACAAACCAAAGTGGGTGAATCCAGCACCTGAGAACTGTAAGTTATTCTTTATAATTTTGTGAAGTACACCAATAGTTTTCATAGTCATCTACAGCAACTGGTTTGAGTAAAACTGTTTTTGTTGTATATGGCAGGTTTTGAGAACCCCATTGTTTAAATATGTGTATCCATTGTTGGATTTTTCTGTGTTACACTTAAAATAACAGCTGTCTCTAGGTGCTTTGAAATATTTTGTTGTTGTTAGTTTCTTTGGTAAACACAAAACTTTCCAGTACTCCAGGAGCTAAAATATGCTTGTTCTTTGTTTGAACTGTTTTTTTCAGTGTATCACTAATATTACTAGCTACTTCATGTAGTTGCTTTGTTTTTCTGTGAATATCTGTAACCCATAATGGTGTGGATGGTTCCAGTGTCTGTGTTTTTTAATAAATCATTAGTATAATAATTGTTGTAAGGACTTTTTCTGTTGAGAAATGCTTTATTTGTTTACTTGCATGAATATGTATCAAATTAATTGTGATGATTCCAGTTGCTAACTAGAGGGGAGCTTGGTTGAATGCATACCTCTGCCATGCAGCATTGATCATATTTGGATATCAAAAAATATAAAAATGTGTCCATATGTCTTTCGTTGTCAACAGACAGAGACCATTTTGACAGGACAACATTCTACAAAGTCTACCAAGTTTCATCAAAATCCGATCATTTTTGACTCAGTTATAGAGCAGAAATAGTGTGATAGATCAGTCCCCATGTTAACAGATGGGGATTTCATTACATTGCTGTAATCTTGATATTTGACGTTGACCCTCAAAAACTCGTCACTAAGTTGGGTCATAGTCCAACTGTATACCAGCTTTTGTTCAGCTGTTTTCAAGATATCTTGCTGACAAACACATACACACAAGAGTGAAACATAACCTCTGTCCACCTTTGGTGGTGAAGGTAATAAATGTTTGGTGTTTGTTTTTATAAAAATGTAGTACATCAACAGACATTCATCCTGCAGTGGCACAGTGGTAAGTCTGCAGATTTATAACACTAGAAACTGGGTTTCAATACCCATGGTGGGCACGGCACAGATAGTCCATTGTGTAGCTTTGTGCTTAACTACAAACAAACAAAAACCAACAGTTTTGGAGTGCTTTGATAACTGGGAAGTGCTTGTTTTTTTATTGTAGAATTAAAAGTAGTGTTATACAGAGTGAGAACTAGGGGTCAGATGTTAATAACATTTAGCAAGTGATGTGATTAAACAACCTTCAAACATACACTTGTAAGTCTCCATTTTCTATTGTGCTAGTATAATATGGTAATTTGGTGTATCAGAATAAAAGTTGCCTTTAGAATAACTTAAATATATTTTATTATCTGTTATGGTGTTTGATCTAATTTATTCACTTTTATGATTTTAAAACAACTGTTTTCATTGCCTAAATTTCAAGGTTAAGTTTTTTTTATTCATTTTGATAATGGCCTACTTTTAAAAGTGCCATACAAAATATTTATGTAACAATTGTTGTTCTTCATTTGAATTTTATCAGCATCATGTAGCATTTCAATTATTCCTTTTTCTCACAGGTGCTGACTGGCCTTGAACTGGGCACATCCCATCAGTTAATCAAACCTATACACTAGTTTCTTTTAATGAATATAAGTTGGAAGTATTATATTATGAGGATGAAATGCCATCCTGTCATTGTCTTGTAATTATATATTCAACTTAATTTCAGATACACTAGACTGCAGAAATGCCATACTCTCATTGTTTTCTAATTATTTATTTAAAGGAAATTGAAACATGGTTGGTAATATAAAAGAACAGAGTAATTCTTAATGGCATTTTTGTAATGATGGGTCTTGCATGGGCTTATTATTTCTGGAAAGGATGCTCTACCTGGTACTGGTGATATCTGTAGGCAGAATAAAGAACAAACACTAATGCCTGTTAACACAAAGTAAAACGACAATCAGACAACTGTCAGGAGAAACCTGCCAAGATACAACATTTATGTGAGCCTGTCAAAAGGAACATTTCATCATATAGATTGAAACCTGATAACTTGATATGGAATTACAAGAAATCACAAGAACTATTTTTCAGAAACTTCATCCAGAGCCCCCCCCCCTCCAAAAAAAAACAACCAACAAATAAGATTGAATGTTGTCCAAGAAACGAACACTCGGATATCCCAGAAGGTAGCACATAAGTGCAGTGACAAGTTTTCAACCATGCACCATGACTTGGCTATTTAACAGCAAGCACCTCTTAAGTATAACAGTGTTTTTGTCTTCTTTTGTTCTTTTCATATTCATATGGCCTACTTTGCATCTCTGGAACATCTTATAAAGGTTTGTAGTGTTCTATAAGTTATATATGATTCTGAAGTATTAGTATCAGGTTCAATGGATAGTTTCATATTCAAGAAACATTTTAATTAGCACTAACATCTTACTGGTATATTGCTTCAAATTCTTCACTTCAGAAGATTTTTTGAACTGAATGTTGAAGACTTAGCTTTATTGCTAGAAATCAGCAGCCTACTCTCAAGTAAGCCAGGCATGCATTGTAGCATTTACAGGCATAATGAACAGCTACAAAATTATATGTAAATATATGCATTTTTTGAATATTATGGAGCAACAGCCAAATTCTGAATGGGTTATTTAGATCTAATTGAATTTATGTGTTTCTATACTCTTAGCCAATGTTCCTTAAAACAAATCAGCCCAATTATGCCAGATGGATAGCAGGGTACCATATGACTTTTTACACATGGATAAAATGCTTTGGGGAAAGGGGGTTGCCTTTGCTAATCAACATACACCAAAGCAGTTTTTATAAAGCTCTGCAGGATTAACCCTCAAACAGACACTTAACAAAGATGCATCTTTGAGACAAACTCGAAATACTGCATTCATACAGTCTGTCCAAAGTATTTGGTGAGGTAGCAGAATCTGTACTTCAGCATGCTTGCTTCTTTAATCTGTGATACCTATCCTGAAAGAGTTTCAATTAATATTACTTCCTTTCAGAGCAAGCTACTTACATAGAGTACAACTAAAATTCAACTTCATAATGAGTATTGCTAACGAAATGTACTTGCATTAGAATGCATTGTTTAATCAGATGAGTACCCTCACAGTTAATGATATTTTCAGCCATAAAAGATCTAGCACGTGTTACATGCAGAGAACAGGTAACATGATGTAGCATACAACAAAACTGATCCGTACCAGCAAAGATCAGTTGATTTCAACCAAGCACTGTTGTCATTCCTCTTCAAAAGAGCATTGTTCAGATTCCTTGTTGATGAGTGACTTGCTCTAGAGTATACATCTGTACTGAAAGAACACATTGTCTGTTTTATCACTGAAAAGCAATATTATATGCACAAAATGGTTGATTGAAAACCTTGAAAATGCTTGGTGCATAATTATTCTTCACCATGCAGCAACTTTTGATGTAGCAATTGGGTGGATGTGTGTATAAGTTTCTCAAATTCTAGATTTACGGGTGATACAACTTGCTGCTCTGGCTTACCTACATTCCATGCTGTGTTCATGTACTGATATTGTTGAAACAGGTATGGTATCAACAATAGAGAAATCTGTTTTTGTAGTGCACAATGTTTTCAAACTTTAGAAAGTGAATGTAGCAATCTCTGTGATTGTCACTTGGACACAATAAAATCCTCTGATCTAGAGAAGTACTCCAACAAAAGTTGATCCAAACCAGCTATGTGGTGAACATGTGAAGAAATTGTGGAAATGCAAGCAAGATGTAGCCAGTGGCTTTGGTTGGAAAGCCACAGCTGAAAAATGCACCTAGAGGTGGTCTGGTTTAAAGGTCAACAGAGTCCATCAAGCATCAGTTTAGATATCACTGAGGACTATACAAGTGAAAATGAAGATGATTTTAATATACTCACCTAAAAACATAATCCATGAAGACAAATTTTTAGTGTCTTTTGACTGTAAGCAGTGAATGTTAACATACCAGTGTCTGCAATATTGCTTTCTGATAAACTAGATGACTTTCTCTAGTGTATAATTTGTGTGGGAAATCAATTTTTCATTGTTTTAAGAAGTGTTGTGCATTTAGATAATGATCTTTAAATCATTATTTTCCTTTAATAACATTCTTGTATGTTTTCTACACTTAAAATTTGACAGGGTTTATGAATTTCTGATTACTAAACCAGATAAAACATGTTTACTGTATGGGACTACTATGTTCATAGTAGTAATATTCAAATTATGGTTTGTAACAGCCTCTGTGTGGAGCCTTTGAAATGTGTCCAACCATTTTTCAGATAGCCCAGTTTCCTTCTTCAAATAGCTTGTAAAAGCCTTTATTTTTATGCACTGGATTTTTATTTTGTAAAACTAAAAATTTCTGCATTATGAATAAATTTTAATTCTATCAGTGGGTCATACAAATAATTGTGTGTTACATATATTAATACAATAGCTACTTGTAGTTTGGTAGATGTATGTCATTTGTTTTAATGTTGTACTGCTTTTACATGCATGTCATTTGAAGTATTTGCAAGTTACTTTTCAGCTATCTGTGGACATTACTCAGTTGCCTTGTTACCCTATCTGCTCAGTAAAAGGAAATTAGAATGTGTTTTATGTGTAGTAGTGTGTAAAACAACCTGACAATACAAGTTGAAAGGGAGTTTAGGGAACAGTTCAGCTTAGGTACTAACAGTTCACAATGGTTTATCATAACATTACCATGTGTGTGTGTGTGTGTATATGTATATAATAAAACATCAATGCAGTGCAACACATTAAAATATATACATGTACTAAACTATAAATAGGCATATGTCTTCCTGATGTATCTTGTGGTGATAATATGAAAGGTAATATACCTTCAATGAAACCCCTC